CACCAAAATTTTCAATTTTGGTTCGCGGGCGTTTCATCTCCTTCAATCCCTAGATCCGAGCTTAGTCTCTGTTTCGATAAGGCTCTTCACCGTCTCCGGTGACTGCTCCCTAAACCCATCTTTTGGTGGTTGCTTCCTCCATGTCTGGCCCCGAGTCTCTATGACTCACCGCCACGATAGAGTTCCGCTGGCACAAAGATTGGCCGACATTGATACACTTCCGACCATCTTCAAGGATTTCAACCTTGATTCATATCTCAAAACTCCAAAGAATCAATCTACTTTTGAGTTAAAGTTTTATGGATTCTCAAATCCTGCATCTTCTACATCTTGGCTGAGGTCTGAATTCTTAAATCTCTATTCTATCTCTTTAACCATACTTTCAAGCTGCGTCGATGTTCGATACGTTTTAGGCTTCATGTCTAGTCTTGATTCGACTCTTCTAGTGTGGTTTTGCTCTCAACGCACTCGCTTCCAATTGAGTAAATTGTTTGTATCATCCTCCTTTCTTGAGGAGAGAATCTTACCTCCATCTTTTCTCTCAAGGAGAGGTAATCGGTTTTCGGTATCAAAACCGGGAAAATTCTCCTCCTTTGTGAAGTGACTCTTGTTAAGCTCTATGTTAATAGCTTTGGCCGTGCGAGCTATGTATGACCATGATATGGTCTTGGGTTTAGAGAAAGTTAATTTCAAGTCTGCCTCTCTCCAAAATTCAGCAAGTCGAAGTCTCGTGGTTTGGGATTTGGTTGTTGATAACTTGTTGGTTAGATGTGTATTGTCTGAAGCTTCGAACAAAGTTTCTAGAGTCTCGAACGTGTTTCCGGATTCTTACGACTTTGGCTCCCTATTTATCTCAAAAGATGGTACAACCATGTTTTTTATCTCTTTTGATTCTATCAAGTTGTTATCTTCTTTGTGTTGTAGTTTTCTTGTGGTTGGTGTAATTTCGATTTCATCCTTTCGGATTCGAACAATTTCTCCTCTTTGGAGTGTAACTGTCTTAGAGGATATCAATACAATCGTTGCACAAAAGAAAAGAAAAGCGTTATGACTTAGGTAATTCACAGAGAAACATGGAACAATGTTAGGAATTTTGGAAATATAAATCGTCTAGAACACAAAACTTTTCAACTATCGTGGATCCAACCACTATGTTTTAACTTTCTAATGAACTCAACTATTATAAGAAGAAACCATGCTTTATAGTTTAAATTCTGATAAAGTTTCCTAAAGTCCTTAACTAACCTTTCGAATTGTTAAGATGTTTAGCTCATCAAATACTAATTCATGCAATATAACAAAATTTTGGAGAGT